TCACGTGCTTATAATTTGATGGTGAATAGTGGGCTGCGAAAATGTATGTATTTTCCCTAGAAAAAATAAAAGGAAAGAAGGGAGGAAAAAAAATCGTCCGCCCGATATACATGCATATATATATAGTTCTTGGGAAGTATAAAAAGCTGTCATATTTTCGATTCGTGTTTGTAGTACGTGGCATTTTTCTGATTGTGGGTATGTACAATTCCTCAAAAGAAACATTAAACAAAGGAGTGTTTGATAAGCTTACAGACGGAAAAATTACGTATTTGCTATTGGGAGTGATTTCTTTGTGAACTTTTTTTTTTTCTTGAAGTCAGATGATCGTTGTATGTCGAAAGATTAAAAATAGTTTATTAATAATAATGTATATTGTCATTATCCAAATATATAGGCACAATATTCTGTATGTTTGTGTATTATATTTATATTTATATTTACAATTCTATTGAAAAATGATGCATAATTTTTGTACCGTATTGCGCGCATAACGTGGACACTTGCGTTCAGGAACTAGGAACTAGATGATCACCATGCGTGCACAAAATGTAAAATTACTACCAGATTTGTGTCAACAATATTTATATGCTAGGATCTAAATTGGGATTAACATACAGTACGTACGCGGTCGTTATGTTTGAGCTGCGCAACAATAATTGATACTTATTGTGACACTGCACTGTGTAATTTCACAGAAAACGAAGGCTGGCAAATGATTAAAAATATATATATTTCAACTCCGAATACCGAAGGTTCATCGATTATCAGTTCTTTTAAGGAGCTTCTCATTTCGGAATTAGTTCAAAGGGTTTTTCTAATTCCACTAAATTTTATTAACATAATATCATATCAAAAAGATCACGAACAAAGGATTTTCAGGGTGTTTTGAAATATTCGAACACCGCTAAAGTTATATTTAGCTTTGTTTTTATTTTTCATTTAAGAGAAAAACAGGGAAATTTTCTGGTACTTCTTCAAAAAAAAAAAAAAAATCTTAATAATTATCCTTATGATATGGTTTCTATTATGACGTATTATTATGCAGGACATGAATTCCGGACTTCGCGTATCATCCAAAAATATTTTTAACAAAGCTTTCTAGAATATTTCATTAATACCGAATGCGAAATGACACGCAATTAATCGTAAAAAAATGTTTTTTCCGTTGTGTGGCCTTTCCTTTCAATACATTATCTGCTTTGATCATGTGTGAAAGGTGTCAATCAGTAAGGTAGAAAATATAGGCCGAAACTTTTAAAATCACAATGAGAACAGTCGCAATATTGTTATAAATACTTTGGGTATGTTGAAAAAAAAAATTTTTTTTTTTGCTATAAATAAAGGTGGACGAGGTTCGCTCTGATTAGAATTTTTCATTATTGATATTAGGCAACTCTTGGATATCCTTTGAAAAGCAAGTAAATTCACTATCCACGTTATTCCTTATGTCTTCGAAGACCTCCACGCCGAACTCTCGTTCCTCCCTCCGCCTCCATGCCTTGGCATCGAAGCCGCAGACAACATTCCCCGTGATAACATCGAATTTGCCCAATAATCTCACGCTCATTACCGAAATCTTATTAAGACAATCCAAATCCTTGCATTTCTCACGCGATTTGGACGGCTATTATTACTTAATATTTGGCTCCGATGAGTACAAATACGTAAATTATCAGATTCCGACTGTCCAATTCGCATTGGACCTAGGAAAAAGAAGCAATAAACCCGTCACGTGCTTCCTTTTGTTCCGGAATGGGGTTCAAAAAGGAATAAACTCTTTGAACCTAAAGATCGATAGATCGAGGTTATCCAAAATAATTCGGGAAATTTGGATGGAAGTAAAGCGTAAAGATCCAGATCTGGAGTGCTATCTACAGGATGTGTGTTCAAGGGCTCTCAAAGAATACCACACTCAAAATCTGACTATACGCTTTGCTCCCTACAATATTCCTCCTCCTGTAGTCTCACATAAGATGCGTGTGAGTGAGGAAGATGAGAGGAAAATAATAAAAGGCCTGTTCGGCCTGCAGTAGACAAAACCCAACCCCCCGAAATACACGACGCGGCACGACAATAAATAAATAAATAAATAAAAAATAAAATACAATAATTTATAAGTAATAAGATATATTCTAAGGCATAATTAAGCTAAGATGTTTAAATTAAGGTTATGATTAGTAATATGTAATCTCTAAATATGTAAGGATAAAGACACCATTTATTTAGTGATTTTTTTTTTAATAAATAAAAGCCAGAGTTATCCCAAACATATATGAAGCGGCTTTAGCGACTGCTCCGATAAAGTGAAAAGAATTTCTTAAGTTTATTTTTCAGTCCTGTTGTAAGAGGCAGAAGTGACATGTCATGAATTGCAACGCGTCACGAATAAAACCAATAAGCGACATGGCACGGACGTGAGCACGGTGAGGATAATTAATAAAAGAAGCAATTGTTATTGCGTAAAGATGGTGTCGTTTCGTATAAGTACAAAAATGTTGTAAGGGTAGATTTTTGAACCGAGTATGCTGTCTTTATAAACTCTCCAAATGGCCGATTGTTTTTGTTTCGTGTGGTGATCATTTGCAGGCCATGCGTCGAGATAGTGACAGACTAGCCGTTTTACCGGGAAGAAAGGACGAGATATTATAAAGGAAGTTTTCTTTAAAATTTTTTTATAAAATTTACTAGCTCTTTCTTTGTTTCTTTAAAACTAGCATAAACATTAGATTATTTGTTGATAAATGTACAGTATATTGCACATTGCATATTAGTATTCTTTTTTAGTAAATACTGTATAATTAAATAATCAATTTCAGTACGTTTTACACAAAGTTTTAAGAAAAATATAAGCAAAAGAAAATAATGATATCACGGATTTAATAATTCATAAAATTTTATTAATCAAACAATGAAAGATGTCAAATTTATAAATCATTGTGATTTTCAATGATGGCCTTTTTCTTTTCCTCTTCACTGCTGGCGCAATATTGTTTATCATGCATACCGTTAACATTAATACGATACAAATCCTTTTCATTTTTTCCAATACGTAATACTTTCTAAAAAAATTCCCGATCTAATATGCTATTATTTAATAGATCATTTATATTATAAAGAATTATTATTTTGTAGAAAAAAGAATCAACTATTTGGGTAGTAAACTATACTGTATAAAAGTCTGTAAGGATCTAGGAAGCAAGAAATAAATGTTCTTAGTATTAAATTCTTGAATTAATATTTTTTACACAGTATAAATAACAAGCATGAAAGAAAGAAAAAGATGACGAATTCGAGTTTCGAGTATTTAGTAATTTGATCAAAACTGTATAGTTCTTTTTGTTATTGTTACTTGTAAAAATATTTTGCTTCATCTTAGAACTATATTGAATTTCATACAATTAAATGGTTATTGGTAATAATACATATACATTAATATTACAAGCAATTTAAAAATCTAATTTTCCTATTGTGATGGAGAAATTAAATATTAAATTAGGATCAGAACCAATTTCATTATTATTAGCCAAAACAATACTATGATTGTCTTATATAACAGAGATCTAAAATATATAAAAGAGTAAATAGTGCATCAATGGCAAGTAATTATTTGTTGAAATAGTATAGTATATACACTACTCACAAAATCAATCCATCTTTTGAGGCTTATCAAGTGTATAGGTTTAAGTATGTATACTGTATGAGCATTTGATAAATTATAAAAAGTGAACTGAGAAAAAACAAGAATCCACGTCATTTGATCAGTCAAATTATATACAGCATATTAATTATCTATATTAAAGAACGAATAATTATAAAAATAATTTAACATTATTAGCATTGTATCCAGTGCGTGTATGCATAGACGAGACTTTATGCAATCAGCTTATCTGGTTCGTCATAGCTCTGATAAGCTTAAATAAGCTATCTGTGACTTCGAGATAGCCATGACAAAAGTATAAAGCAATTAGATTGAATATTATGTAAATAGATAGAAGTTTAACAAATTATACAAAGGATGTAAAATGTATGCAAAATAAACATATTGAAGTTAGTCAAAAAAAAAAAAACTGTCGGAAAAGAGAAAGTAAACCGGTTTGTTACTTATGGTTAGATAAACGTGATAATAATATTTTTAGAATAAATATGTTTATTATCGAATAAATTTTTAAGAAATCTCCCGAAAGAAAACTTCTGTATTATAATATTACTAATTTCTTTGAAATTAACAAAGGCTAATTTACTTCTGGCGTTTAAATATATAAAAATGTCCTATATACAATAATATTATAAATACAAATATAGCTTGTTGAAATTTATATTATTTGTTATTCATTCATTTTAAAAAATCCAATATTTACGTATATACTTATTTTTTTATTCACTTTAAATTGACACAAGGCCTATAAAAAGTCTAGATTTCTTGTTAAAAGTACCTTTACAAGAAATTATACTGAAAAATCTCTTTTACAACAATATATGTCGTAATTATTTCTCTATTATATATAATTTGATGTGGCTTTATTTCACAGTTTTGATTATTTATCTTTTAAATTGGTTTTTGGTAATATTATTTTTATATTTTTTATTATATATTAAAATGTTTATATATCTAACTATATATACCAGCTTTTAACTATTGATTTATAATTCAAACAATAAGCTTTTTGGTTTATAAATAAAATTTCTTGTTTCAATACATTGTAAGTAATTATAAAAATATTATATTGCAATAAATTATATAATTTATTAAATAATAAATTGAACTTTTTTATTAAATATAGTTTTAATTATCAATAATTTTTAGTAGCTAGTGAAGTCATGCTATATAGTTTTATTTAATTTATTATTAATATCTTTTCATATATGCAAATTGAATTGCATGAAAGTATATTTATAATAGGAAAAAAACTAATAACTCAGTATTCTAAAATTCATTTGACTCGTTACAGTTTACCCTGAAGTGAATGTTGACATGTTATAATTCTAATACTAATACTTATAAAAAAAAGTAAGTTAGAGAAGAAACTATTTAGTAGAATGTTTTTTATATTATATTTAATGAGTTTTATATATAGCTGGCTAATTTTATATGTCAAAATTCTACTTTCTTGTAGTGTTTCCTTGCCTGAGGTCTTTTTATAATCAAAATACAATGTCTTCCCTAATCACAGTACTCATTATTAAGACTATTAAGTCTAATCAAAGAAGGAATGATACTCACAAACATAGACTACAAATATCTCCATAGAACTGAATCAAGTGGTGCAACAACTCAATTTCATACTGAACTTAATGGAGTTATTCATAAGACCTTGAATATAAAAACATTTAAACAAATCATAAGAGCTTAGAAAAACTTATACACAAACATATAACAATATTTAAGAAGTTTGAATCAGAGCAACAAATCTTAGTATATACTAATAGAAGCTTCAAAATAGATATAGAATCAAGAATGGGAATAGTGATAATTTTATTCACAAGACAACATATACCTGAAGCTCAACTCAACTTTCTTAGATCAAGTATTAACATATAGATCAGAAATTATAAAATTACTATCACATACATTACAACTGAAAAAGACAAAGCAATTAATATATATATTGATTTACAAAACCTTATTCAATACTAAATATAGGTCCCTAAAGGGAGAGGCAGGAACATAAGTTAAATGTCCCTCACTAGGAAACATTAAAATTTTTAAATTAATAACTATAAAAAAAATACCTACAATTGTTCTTTATTATTCAAATCATTGATTTATAACATTTCCTGATTTTTGTTCCTACTAAAGTGAAGAACTATGAATTTTATACCTCAAAAAGAGACATAAGTGATCTGTGAAATTTTATATGCTAAATACTTTAAAGACCCATCATTAACTATATCACATGAAAAATGAAAAATTTCTTCAAATAACAAACAATAAAGTTGGTTTAGACAAAAAATTTAAACATCTCATTCTTAGAGAAATATTTGTAAAGTTCTAAACAATCTAATTATAAAAATAGTGGAATGCAACAAGCTTACAGTTTCTCTGAAAAACTATTACACAATATACAAGTTTCCTAATCTTCAATATCTGAATAGCCAGATATAGAATAATGTTACAATGGAAAAAAGATCAGAAAATCAACAAAACATCTGTAAAAAGAAAAGGAAAAATAAATAAATAGAGAATAAATATCAAAGCAAGAACAATAACAAATAGGCTATAGCAAACTAATATACAAGACACAATGGGTAATATCCTGAAAGGATTATATAATATTTTTCATATTTCTATATTGGTACAAATAAAACCTATATATATTAGTTTCCAACTGGAGCAACAAGTTATAAGAGATTATAAAATCAATTGACTTTTAATAAATTAGTATAGAAAAGACATATAAAGGAGAGCTAATAAATAGTTACCATTAATTTAAGTAATATTTATTACACTAAAATAAATAAATTAGGCCTGTTTTACATTAAAAAAAAAAGTATCAAAAGTAGCTTGTAAATTGAATCAATTAAATAAAAAATTGTAAACCAATTTGAAGTTTTAAAGGCTCTTGAGAT